GTCGTCTATCCTCAAAGGTAAAGTGCAAATAAAACTACTTTTTTTTTATCAATTATTATTCTATTACGGTTATTTATACATTTACAACTACAAAACGCATTTTTCAGTGTTTTCCTTACTATTGTTATTTTGTTTTAATGTATTACTTAGCTTTAATTTGAGTGTTTTTTTTTCATGTTGAAACGAATTATTTGGTTTTACATGTAATCGTATGGGGAAAAATGATTCACCTTACGACATTTTCACGATACGATCTCAGTTTCGGAACGGATTAATTTCGTATCCTGAGGTACCACTGTATTAAAATTAAAGACAAAGTTTGCCCAAAAGGGACCGCCATTTATTTCTTGCGTTCCAGACTACAAATTCACGGCGACAGACCTTCGTTTATAGACTACATGCCGTCAGAATTTTAAAAAAGTCTGTTAAAGACAGAATTACATCCAATTGCTTTCCATCCATCCTATGGATGGAAAGCAATTAAGTTAGATGTAATTCCTATAAAGGAATGTGTAGTCTGGAACACAAGAAATAAATGGTGGTCGCTTTTGGGCAGACTTTGTCTTTAATTTTAATATTAATAATCTCCATTGGATGAAAAATTTACAAAAGTTCAATATAATTACCTCTGTTATTAAATTCAATATATTCCATATGCCCTCTAAATGCCAATTCTTGTTTTGATAAAAACATATAACATTTATTTATTTAGATATAATATATCTATTAGCCTTAACTATCTCGTTATAATTTTCAATATTTATTTTATATTATTTACTAATGTTAAATTCTATTCCGCTTCAATTTCCAAATTGCTTCAAATACGAAAGAATCGACGATTTTTCGTGTTTTTTGCCAGCTGAATTGTCAAAGCCATTCTTATTCCACATGCTAATTTCATTTGAAAATATTATATAAGCCAACAAAACAATTTTTGCATTTTTATGCATTTACAGAGCCATTTTATAGTGAAAATGTCGAACAAATTTTTTTTATTGAAGCGTTTATATTTAACATGGTCATTGGCCATTCTCATTTATTAATGTTTTCTTTTTCTTTATGCGATCTTGAGCCAAAACTTTTTTAAAATAAATTTTCAATATCGCAATTACATTCCGAATCACTAGCCACGATATAAGGGCTAAAATAAAAATAAAATTATAAAAACTTACTCGGTGAAATAAAATGTGTAGTGGATAGCCTATACATACCTGGTACAAAACATTCTTCAATTGTAAGAATATACTTTAAAGAAAATCATAATTAAATATAGCTTTGTAATGAAACGTATATAAAAATAACATAAAATATTCTTTACTCTTTAAATCTTAACCACTTAGTCAAATAGCTCCCTACGAATGGAATCAGAGATGGCCCTGCTAGGTGTGCGGTGTGTACAGTACATGCACGCGGTCTGCCAAATCCCGAGGGTGCCCATACTGGTCAAAGTCAAATGCCTGTTTATTCACATCACTAGTATATCTCAAAAGATGCGACAGGGTTCTTGTAAATTTTAAACGTTTCTCACCATAGCTGTAAAAGTCTAAATATGTTAAACTTTATAGATTGCCCGTCATTTGTTTTCTAACTAATTCGTTTTAGGACCAGGTGTCGTCCACGGAAATTTCCAAACTTTACAACTTTTCGATCACACTCTCGTTGAACTGGAAAAATGTCTGTCTTTATTACGTCTAATATTTCGAAGAAATCAGTCCCACTGTATTCGGCTAGAGATTGGTTTGGTTAGGCTTTTGTTTAAGTAAAATTTCGGCTCTTTCGTCAGGGTTTTGTTTATGTCCCCAATTCCCTAATCGCTTAATTATTTAACTAATTCTTAAGTAGAAATAAGTTGAAACCAGTTACTTTGTACTTGAATATTTGTAGTCTCTGGAAAAAGTGGAAAGACAAATTTTTATGACAACGGATACATAAATCGTAAATTCAAGAAAAATAAATTCTAGAGCTTTTTCTGTACCTGGTGCATCTCTATCATTCATTAAATTTAGTTGTAAATTATGCTACCAAAGTAACAGTTAATTTTTTAACATTATACAAGAATTGTACATGTTTTTTCCTACATCCCTTTGAAGATGGGACATACAAAATCGTAATATCACTAGTTTAACATTGAAATCCGTAATATAAAATCTGAGAGCGGAATAAATATATCAAATATTTTAACGGATTTTTTTTAAAACTCCTGTCAACTATACAGAAAACTATCATAAAAATATACAGGTAAATTCTTATCGGTTGGGTTAAGTTATAAATCTACTCGTGGTTCACGTAATCGGGCGAGGGCGGCCAAATATCTAGTGGGCAGGCGGCTAACAGCTTGGAACTGGTCCTGGTTAGAATTGGATGCGGTATACATGTAGCATCCAGACAAGGTCCTAGGCTTCCACCGGCTAAACCAGGTGATGTTGGTGCCCTGTAAAGCGCATGCGCGAATCTGGCTTTTCGGATGCTGACAATACAGCATTCCTACTCCGCCACTATTCGAATATACAATAGCAATCTTATTTTTTTTTCACGTGTAGTATAGAAATTTGTAATAAGATACATAATGCGGTTATAATAAAATATTGTGCGATTATTTTCATATAATTGAAATTAATATGTATTTATTTTTTAGAAAATACAAGGGAAGCAGCGCATCCACCGCTTCTAATGATGGCACGCCACTGCTATATGCACAATTCGAGGAAAAGAAGAATCAAATTAATGCCTAGTCTGATTCATCTTAAAAAAGCAATTTTTAGAACTCAAAACAGCAGTAAATTTAGCCCAATTATTTATTGGAATCCATATCGAAAATAAAATACATGCACAATTAATTAACCGTGTTCAATAATATTAAAATAAACAATAACGTTACTAC